AGTGGTAGAGTGCTTAAAGAAAAGAAGATACAGTAGTGAGACAAAGCTCAAGCCTTAGGGTAAATCATAAATGAAGAACAGACGAAATATGTACACAGTTTCAAGCTGTGTGTGGCCATGTGCCTCTGTAACCCTAACACTGTGAGAGGCTGAGGTGGGATGACGTCAAGTTCCAGTCCAGCCTGGGCAACTTTCTGACTTAGCAAGAGCCTGTCTTAAAATAAAAAACAAAAAAGGGCTGGGGACAGATCTCAGTGTGAAGGCTCTGGGTTCAATCTCCAGTATCTCTCTCTCTCTCTCTCTCTCTCACACACACACACACACACACACACACACACACAGAGTTTAAAATTCTCTAGGGCTGGATTTTCACTCAGTGGCAGAGTATGTGCTTAGCGCTTGTAAAGCCCTGGTTCAACTCCCCAGCATTAAAACTATACCACTGTTCTTCAAACTACCATCACTGCTGGGCAACCTTATAATCCCTGAATGGGGGAGGCTGAGACAGGAGGAGTTTGAGGCCAGCTTGGGCCACATATCAAGTCTGTCTCAGATGAAAAAAAGTTTCCAGACAGAGAGCACAGGACAGGGAGCCCCACGTGTGGGAGCTTCTCAGTGTGCATGGGGGTCTTGTGTGACTCCGCAGTCTCATGTGAATCAGCAGCACCAAGCGCTCTCGGGAGGGATCCAGCCTCAACAAAGCTCTGTGAGGTGGGCTTTGGCACCTTTCACAGATAGGAAAATCTCCCAGGCAGAAGGAACAGCTGGGGTGCCTGGCCCTGGGTCACAAGGCAAACTTGATAAAAGAGATTTGAGTTCAAGGCCTGGGCTATATAGTGAGACCCTATCTCAAGAAAACAAAACCCAAAAACCATCATAGTAACTGTCAGAACAAAATTACTAAAAATAGGAATAAATATTTGCTGCAAATGTAGGTCATACAGAAGTTAATGCTGCTCTCATGGAAAATAACTCACACATATCGATAAGGGAAACAGCAGGCCCCATGGGTAAAGGTCAGGGACAGATGAATGAGAAAACAGGAAACTCCACGTGGGAAAGTCTCACGCCCATGGTCAGACCAGCAGGCTCGCTTACCATGGCGATAAGGATAAGGTGCTTTCCTTTTTTGGATGACCAACAGGGAAAACCTGAAGCTTTTGGTGCTGGAGAGAGCACTGGTGCCAGCTGTGGGCCACACACTCTGGTGGCAGTGATGTTGGCACCAAAAGGAGACCAGGCTGGCCGCAGGTGCATCGATGCGCAGCGCCCCCGCCTTTGATCCAGCTCCAGAAATCACCCGAAAGTTGCCAGCAGGGCTGGGAGAGCAGTGTGTGGGATCCTAGACGCCAGGCTCTGCACCTCTTATCTCATTTAATTCCCTCCTAACTCAGCCAGCGAGTGCAGATAAGGAGCCCAAGTGCTGCGAGGCCAGGCCCCTGTCAAGGTCACCGGGCTTGTAAAGGACAGATCTGGCTTTGATTCTAGGTCCCTTCCATAGTCACTGGGCTGTCCCCTCCCCGAGGCTGCCTCAGAACTCCCTCCCAGGCAGCTCACCCTGTGCACAGGCTGCAGCTGTGGGGCTCCTTGCAGCAGGATCATGACGACTTGCCAAGCTCCGAGCCAGGGGAGTCTCCATGCCTGGAAGGAAGCCCAGAGAGGACAGTACAGACCTGAACAAGCAAGCGCAATCCAGAATATCACACATGCTGCATTCCCCTCAGCCTTGGGACCGTCAGCTAAAGCTAACCTTCGTTCTGGATTTGCATTTTTAATATACTGCTGTTTTCTTTCCCTTTATTCTCTTCCTCCTCCTCCTCCAGATTGAACCCAGGGGCTTTGCAATGAGCCACGCCCCCAGCCTTCTGCAATTTTTAAAATTTTGAGACTGAGTCTTGCTAAATTGCCCAGGTTGGGGTTCAATTTGTAATCCTCCTTCCTCAACTTCCCAGAGTGCAGGGAGGACAGGCGTGTGACACTATGTCAGGTTGAGTGTATTGGTATTTTCTTAATGACGATTAGCTACTTACTATAGTTGAGTAGCTATTATTTAAAACAATTTTTTTTCTTTGGAGACAGGGTCTCGCTATGTAGTTCAGGGTGACCTCAAACTCATGGCCACCCTTCTGCCTCAGCCTCCCAAGTGCTGGGATTACAGGTGAAATATCTACCTATATATTGAACAAACACATTAAAATGATTAAAAGTACAGGTCCGCTATATATGGTAGTTCCTTGTAAAGTTTCTCTTTGAAATTACATTGAAGTAAGCAGTTATTAAAAAACAGATAGATGGTGCATGCCTGTAATCCCAGCCCTTGGGAGGCTGAGGCAGGAGGATGGTTATGAGTTCGAGACCAGTGTGGGCTGCAAAATGAGCTCAAGGCCAGCCTGAACTGCGTAGAGAGACCCTGTCTCAAAAAGACAAAAAACCGAAACCAAAAACAAAACAGGTAGACAGGGAATTGAGCAGTATGACTTGAATCTGCAGTTCACCCACTGTCATTTCCTCATCAGTAGACGAGTTGATGCTGGGGCCCCACTCCAAGGGTATCTATGAGGCTGCACATCAGGTTGCAATGCCTGAAGTGTAGTTGTCGATGAGTGTTAATGATTTTATTAGGTTTATTTTTTTGAGACAGGGTCTTTATATGTAGTCCTGGATGGCCTTGACCTTACTGTGTAGCCCAGGCTGGCATGGTGATCCTCCTGCTTCAGCCTCCCAATTGCTGGGATTATGGGCTTGTGCCACTACACTTGGCTGTTAATGATTTCTCTCCATTATACTACAGGCAAATTACTTTGGAAGCATCTGGCTTCTGCAATTGTTTCTGGAGGAAAACACTGATTTTCCCGATAGGAGAAATGTCTACGGGATGCTAACATCATTAAAACCAGTGTGTCCAGACCCATAAGGAGAAAATGAACTAAGAGAAAGCAAACTCCAAAAACAAAAACCAAAATAAAGATTGTAATACATTGTAAATGTGTAATCCATATTTAAGGCTTAGAAAAGGGTTGTACAGATAGACTGGATCTCTCTTCCTCTCCTTTCCCCCTCCCTCCTCCTTGCTGTTGGCGTTAGGGCGCTAACCCAGGGCCTTGTGCATCCCTAGGCATAAGCATACACCACCACTGAGCTATGGTATATTCCTAGTCCTTCAATTTGTTAATCTGGTAATAGGAGCTAAAGTTACCCCTTGGATCATCTTTAAGTTTTTCCTTTCTACAAAGGTAGGTGAGGGGGGCAC